CAAGGTTTGACCGAACCACTATAAATCTAGTGTGTTCTTTCTTATTTTTCTTACGCATTTAATTTCATTGCAAGTTGTTTATTCTGGTTGAAAAGTTTATTTTTTAAACTTTAAATTTAACTTGCATTAATAATTTAAAAAGGTTTTCTAAAAATCCAAGAGTAGAAGTATAATTTTTTAAATTACCAATTCACTCTCCCTCTTGGTTAGCCTTGAGACATTTAATTAGGTTTAACATCCTAATTCATATTGAACGAGTTCCAACAGATTTGATAACCTAATAAAATTATTGCTCAATTTATTAAAAGATTAAATATATGATACTTGATTATTTTTTTAATTTATTTTTCTAAGAATAATTTTATTAGGTTATCCCTAGATTTGATAACCTAATAAAATTATTGCTCAATTTATTTTTCTAAGATATTAAAAAATATCGCCCTCACCTCTAATAATTACTTAATCACCCTTCTCACTTCCTTCATATTCCTTGCTTTATTTCTTATGATCAACTTCTATTGTTGCAACTTTTAACTGATTAAATCCCAGCTGAATTGTAGCATACGCATGATCTTCTATTTGTCTTTGCATTCATGCCAACACTATAAAAAATGAGATATTTTTGTAGCACTTTATAATAGTGATTTTACAACCGTTGCTATAGGTTGTTTTTCTCAATAGTTTTAACTATCACCATGAGTGACAGTTTAACCTGCAGCTAATAGTGTCGGTTTAAACAACCACAATTAGTTGTGGTTAAAATTGTCGTTATAGAAGTTGTAAAAAATGCTTCGGGGGCTCTAATATCTCACATACACCACATGAACCTCCCAACATGTTTCACATCTCTTCATCTGTCATGCCCTAGTTCCCTCTATTGCTGCCTCTCATTTAGCTTCTAGGATTCTCTGTTAACAATGAGATCACCATTCTTGCATTCGACTCCACAACACTCTGATTTAGTAACCACAACTTGTAATAGTCCAAATTATTAATTATCGAAGCATTATCCACTTTGGCCAAAGAGCCTCATAGTTTTTGACCTGTTCCCACTCAGAAATGCTCCTAGATGAGCATGCTTAACTGCATAGTTTCTTACGAAAATTTCAGCTATTATATTAAAAAAACACCTTGTTGTTTAAGAGTTTAATTTTCTTTTACTTAAGGGGTTTCACACAACTCTACCTTCGTCTCCACATTTCTCATGCTTGATAAATACAACCGCCAAGGGTATGAGGACAAGAAACGACCAGACGTCATAAGCTATGCCTTGAGAGTATAATATAAACATCCTCCCTTTCTTCTTTCATCCAATTGTATGTGCCAATAGTCCATAATTTGATAGTTGAGACAATCCACTCAAAGACCCTACTCCTTTATAGAATTGTATCTATGCATATCGCGCTCTCATATATATTTGTTCTAAGAAGAATAATATTAATTTGTTTAAAAAATATTTAATAATCAATTTTTTTTTGGTGCAACACGAGGACTTCCCAGGAGGTCACCCATCCTACTACTACTCTCGCCCAAGCACGTTTAACTGCAGAGTTCTGATGGGAACCGGTGCACTGGTGCTGGTATGGTCGCACCCTAATAATCAATATTCTTATCAAAAGATGTCCATAATTAGATGCTCTATGATTTATTGTCTACCCATTGCTTGCCTTCTTGCTTCTCATGGATGCATGCGTGTATCTATCTCCACCATGATATGTGCTCTCTTCCTAGCTTCATCTCATATTAAAATATTAAAAAAATAATGAAAAATATAATTAAAATAAGACTTTATATATAAATTTATTCTTATCATCCTCCTCTTATATTTTATGTGCAACTAAGATTTCATTTAGGACGACTATAATATTTAATAAAATTGATTATGAATTTATTGAAAAAGTAATTTGACTATTATGACTGTAAAAATAAATTTTCAACACAAAAAAAATTTAAGAAATTGTGAAAAATAATAAAAAAATATTAGCCACATAAAATTATAATTATTATCTAAAAAATAAAATACCAAAATGTTATCCCGAATAAATCTTTGACCTAAGCGTTCGGACACTTAAGCAGCCAATACATTATTTACTAGAGCATGTCAGCGCTTAATTTGCTTCCTATTTTTGGGGAGGATACGCTTTGTCCAAATCATTTTCAAGTAAAAGTCTTCTCTTTGATTATTTTGGAAAAAAAAAAACACAGAGACAAAAGAACCAACAATTTTGCAAGAGAGAGAGAACAAATTATGGAAAGAAAATAAGAAAAACAGAGGCGGGAAGCAGACGGCAGAGACAATGGGCGCTGAGTAGGAGCGAGTCCCTTTCTCTGCTTTCCTCTCAGCAAAATTTTAAAAGGCGAAAGTATCAAATAACGCTCTCTAAAGGCTACAAAGGCAAACTCGTGGCTGAGGATCCCCTTCCCGTGCTGACGTAGGAATCCCAGTCCCCACCTTCCCTGTTTAACCGAGAGCGGAGCAGGCCAAAACAAGGCAGCAACGAGCAAGGAGAGAGAGACAGAGAAAGAAAGCAATATAGGAGAGGAGAAAGTGAGAAAGAGAGGAGAAAACAGGGGGGATGGATCCAGTGATCAAACTGTTCGGAAAGACAATTCAGCTGCCGGCGGCGAGACAAGGTCTGGCGGCTACTGCCGGAGAAGACAGAAGCGGATATGAGAAGAAGGTAATTAATGGCTGCTTCTCTTATTCGATCTGCAACGTACGGTTGAGGTGTTTCAAGTGATAAAAATGGGATTTTTAATTGGTATAGATATGGGCCCCTCGTGCTATCAGACGGCCTTGGGATTTGGTGATTGCTTTTCTTCTTGTTTTTTCGTTTAACTGGAATTCCTGATCTTGGTTGCCTAAAATTTTAATTTTTTTATCGCTGTGCATTGTCCATCCCTGAAGAAAGCAAATTTAGGATCGAGATCAAACCAACGATGATCTATAATTTTGATTGAGCAAAAAGATCTTTTTTCGTGTATAAAAGTTGCTATTTTTTTCTTTTTTATATGATTCCTTCTAAGATTATTCGTCAAAATGGTCAGAGATAGAGGTATTCTCTTTCTATTAATTTGTTAATTCATAATTAAATTCTTTAACAATCTAAGATGAGTCAGCGTTCAATCCCATGTAATTAACTTAATTTTACTGTAACGTCATGATTTCCTTAGTAGAAACTCCATTACAAATAAGCAATCCTCTCCATAGATCAATCTTTCAGACAAACGTCAGGATTGTGCTCCATATGATCCAAAAAACTTCTTCTTTTTTTTTGGGCTAACTTAGCGTCTCTTAACTGTACATATTCTATTGTTGATAAATTGGTTCTCTTTTGCTAAATCAGTAAAGACATGGCTAACGCAGTTTTCTCCTACGATCCTTCGGGCTTCCTCAAAAAAGCAGGGCAACCATGAACCCAAACACAAAAACGAGGAAACGCGATTTTCTCAACAAGAAGAGAGGATTGACGAGAAAAATATGTCAGAGGCAAAGGCGGAGAAGAACAATCCAATGGATAAAACACTCAAAAAGCCTGATAAAATTCTTCCCTGCCCTCGCTGCAAAAGCATGGACACAAAGTTCTGCTACTTCAACAACTATAACGTTAACCAACCCCGACACTTCTGCAAAAACTGTCAGCGATACTGGACTGAAGGAGGCAGCATGAGAAACGTTCCTGTTGGCGCGGGTCGCCGGAAAAGTAAGAGCTCCACCACCAACCAGTACTACAACCACCACATCAGAATCCCTGATTGTGCTCAAGCTGACTTCTATGAATCAAACAACCATCCGAGTCCTCTGAAACACAATGGAACAGTACTCAGCTTCAGCGCTGAAGCTCCTCTCTTAGAATCCATGGATTCCAATCTTGAGAATCAGTTTAGTAGATCATTGGCTACTCCTTGGCCTAATCCATGGAGTCAGACTCCTTTGTACCCAATGGCACCATACCTGGCCATGCCATGGCTGTGCTCATGTCGGCATTCTACAGTTCCAAAGAGATTAAGGATTACTGAAGACCATGAAAAAGCTGCAAAATGTTCAGTATGGGAAAAACTGGGTTTTAAGAACGATAAAACGGATAAAATCTTCCAGACCAGATCAGCTGAGGCTTCACAGGTCTTGTGTGCAAACCCTGCTGCGCTTTCTCGGTCTCTCAATTTCCAGGAGAGATCATAGTGAGCTTCTACAGCTCATGCAGTAAGCGGTTTTTAACAAATTGGTAGGTTTAGATTTTGTAGAAATTAGCATATGTGGAAGGATTTCTCTAGTTTTTTTTTTTTTCTTTAGATATAAAGATATGAAATCATTTAAGAGGTTGAATAAGATTGTACCTAAATAGTTAAAAAGTAGTTGCCTTTCTTTCCTGTTATGTTTGGAAATGAGAGACCTTTTTAAGCCAGCCTGGTTTTTCTTGGCCTCTTCTTGCTTGTGAACGTCGTGATATTGAATGACCAATAAACTTTATCAGAATTTGGGACATGGTCTTATCAGCAGCTGAGATATGATGCCATTTGATAGTGGTTTCTGAGAAAGCTATCACTTGCATTATGTGTTGGAAACGATTGAAAGAAAGGAGGCGTGGAAATTGTTGAAGTTTTTATTTAATTAACTATTTAATTTAGAATAATAAATATGAAGTCATAATATATACAACCTTAATTAGAGTGTAAATTAGCAAAGTGTTGTTAATATGCTCTATAAGTAGAGGTGTCAAAATGGATCAATAGATTAGATTTGGCTCCTACTCGAAATTGACCAAACCCGAATCCGATCAACTTGAATCTGACCCATTTAATAAACGGGTAAAAACTGTGAACCCCAATCCAACCCGTAAGTAACACGAATGACTCGAACCCGATTTTATAACCCATTTTGATTTATTAAAAAAATCTTATTTTTATATATTTTTAACCATATATTTTAGATTAATTAAAAAAAAGACAATATATCACACCAACAAATAAAAAGTTTATGAAAAAAATAATTTAAATAGTTCATTTCAGGTTAAAATTAGGTTGGCGGGTCAAACCGAACTCGACCCGTTCAATAAACGGGTTGAATCCGAACCTGTATTTTTCTGGTTGGGTCCAGATTGGATTATTTTTTGACATCCTTATCCATAAGTTATCCGACTAAATAACAGCGGTTCATAAATATAAAATTTAATTGAAAGTCATTAATTAATAAATGAGAAAAATTATCAAAATAAAAATATAAACAATGTAATCTATTTTTATATATAATCAAATATGTTCTCTTTCATACTTAACTAAGTTAAATAGAAAGATTATAAAATTAATCAAAATTAATGTTAAGTTGTGATGCATCATAAAAACTGTCTTGATTGGGCGTGCGTGGATCTTGATGCAAATATGAATTGAAAATTTTTGAAGTTAAATTCACGATAATCAAAACTTTTATTTCAGTAATCTTCTACACACTAAATGTTTTAATGAGATGAACTCAACGATATCAAAACTCCTAAGCATTCAAAAGTAGTCAAATCCGAGTTTGAATGAGCTTCGATCGAGCACTTGAATTATAATTGAAAATTTTAATGTATTATATTGGATGATGAAATGATTTTCAAATATTGTATGCTTATAGTCAAAATGAGCGTCTCAACAAGACGAATCTAAAGAGTCCAATATTACTTAATTATGAAGTCACTAAGATGCATAAATACTGAATGATATGACTATAATTGAGGGAATCAATACAAGAAGTATGATAAAAAGTTCCAAATTTGCTCCATATATGCAAGCCATGCTACTATAAAAAAAAAAAAATTTAGCTAGACATCTACTTTGTATATTATGATGCAGCACTCAAGCACTACTATTGAGCCAGCATCCTATTATTATTGTCGGACCATCGACCGTCTTTTGACTTTGCTAAATATGGTCCTTTTAATGATTGTTGTTTTATTGGGGTCCTTCGACCTCCGCCTCATTGTTGTCATTTGACCTCTATTGCCCGACTAAGATCATCAAACCTATAATCTTCTACCTATTATCATTTAATTAGCTACTCCAAAACCTAGATATGTCAATGCATACTGCCAATTCTAAGACTGAAGTGTGCCATTGATATCAATTGTAATGATAAACATCAACACTAAGATGTATGTTGAATTTCTTGATCTCTAATCTTCTCTGATCAAATGAGTAGGACAAAAACATACAAATAAATGATCTCTTAAAGATAAATCTTATGCCACAAGAGTACTATTCAAATTTGAACCATATAATATATTCTTTATATTATATCAATGTCTTACCTTGAAAAGAGCAATATTTATAATCGATGACAATACTAGTATTTTAATATTACATACATATCATTATCACCCATAGGTTGTCTATAGGTTGATATGCATGTAATATTAAAGTTTTAGGTATTGGATATATAAGTAGGATGTTATAAGGTGTTATGCATGTAAATTCCTCAAAATCATTTTAACTTGGTCAAATTCCATAATTTTTGTAATTCTTATACTGCTCTCTTATTTCTATATACTGCTCTCTTGTTTCTATATACGCTAAATTTTCATATAAAATTAATATGTTAAGTTCTCTTTATTGCCTCATATATTCCATCATGCAAGACAAACACAAGAAGAAGGAAGTACGAGCTCTTTTTATGATCTTTATCCTATCAACAACTGACAAACATAATTAATAAATGCCAAACAAAAGTCAAAGCCGGCCAGCTGAAGAGGACGGAGGAAATGTGAAGATATCATTATTATTTTATTTAACGAGTGGATGGGATCAGTCATAAGGCAAAAGTAGGCATTAAAGCTTCAACTTTTTTCCAGGTCTTCGGGGAAAATCTTGCTTTTTATTAATGTAATCAGTAATCCACGCTTGAATATTTCGTAGAATTTTGACTAAATAATTTGTTTACATAAAAATTAAAGTTAAGGTTAATTACATACACACCATTTTATTTTATAATATTTATATATGTAATACTTAAAAGATTAATATTATATAATTATCATCCATAGAATAAATATATGTGCATTGAATGAAATATTAAAATTTATAAGATGGTATGAATGAAATATATGAGTGATATATTTGATATTAAAGTTGTATATGAGTAATAGATATATAATATTATTTTTTTGGAAGTTAGATATGTAATAATATAAAATAAAGTGGTATGCATGTAAATTCCATAATTTAAAATATAATTATATTATTATTTATTGGATGAAATGAAGTTTGACATTAAGTTTTTTTTTTTTTTTTCAGACCCGTTTGAAAAAACGGGTCGAAGTTTGACATTTAGTTAAGTATAAATATTTATTTTGACTTGCTTGAAGTTTTATTTAAATGTAATTAAGATTAGTCATGAAAAACACACACATATATATAACGAGCTTGAAAATCGTAAAGAGCTTGAAAATCATCTGATTAATATTAAGATTAGTGCGTGCACTAATCTTAATATAAAATGGACGGTATCTAAAATTATTGGGGTAACAATTTGTTTGTCAATATAACTTTTTTTGTTTTGCATGCATGGAAAGCTGGCGGTGAGAGCTGTGCTGGAAAGAGTGATGATGTCAAGAGGTAAAGGAAGCAAATAAATAATGGAGAAGGGAATAAAAGGGTAGAAGAAAATTTTATTTTTCTTGGTCGCCACTTACCATTATCACTATATTTTATGAATTTATTTTTTTGTAAAACAAATAAAAAAATATACTTTTTTTTTTATTTATCTTACACTCAACTAAGTATATTAGTAAGTCAAAATGTAGATATGTTAGAATTATTATATATATATATATATCATAAAAATGTAAAATATAATAATAGGCCTATTGTTATTATATATATCTATGCCTTTTCATACCTTAATTTCTTATTGAAAAGTTCACTCCCTCTATGTTTTTACATTTCAATTCAAACCAATTAGTTTCTCTTTGTTCAAGCTGCCAACCATAGAAGCCATGCATCACTTGAATACTATAATTGTTGTGTTTTGTCATCTTCTTCTAGCTATCGGCCCTCTAGTTCCTAATGCTAATCATTTGTTGTTGGTTGCCTTTTAGTGACTTTGAAGCATGGAAATTCAAGAGAATACTATATTGCCCTTTCTTGTCACAAAGATATTGGCCCTCAATCCCTTAAGTTTGAAACTAAGCCTTATCAAAGTCAAGCAAGCTGACATTTGAGTTATGCAAAATCAAGCCAATCTATAAAAACTAAAGTAAAAGGCTAGAGCAGACAAGAATCCTTTAGGGATGTGACTTAATTAAGAAAATGAAGTATTATTAATCTTTTTTTTTGGAGCAGGTGAACTTCAGACCTACTATTTAGCCTTATATATCAAACTTAAACTAAGTTGTGGCATAGGTTGCACTAGAATGCATGGTTAGCACCTTACGGCTCTAGATAATACTAGAACCCATCCATAAAATCATATGACAAATTTAAACCATTGAGCTATTATTGCTTTGATTATTTGGGTGGGAATCAACTGACCTAGATTCATTAATAAATGATCTTAAGAATAATTAGAACATAGGATGCTTAATCAAACATGGACTTCAGGTAGTTACCCACTTAGCCAATGCCTAATTAGACTCTATTGCTTAATAAGGCTCAATAGAACCTTAAACTGGGCCAAGTACCCTATTTTAAATACCCTTCAAACCTTTTTTTTTTTTAGTACCCTTCAAACCTAGATAATCCTATGCTAAGGAAAACCCTTATACTTAGGGCTGCAAGCGAACCAAGCGTTCGACGAGCTACTCAATGCTTGGTTCGATTAAAGCTCGTTTGTGATCGTTTAACTAACTAAACAAACAAACTTGAACAATATTTTAAATACTTGATCCTTAAATAAACAAGCTTGAACACTAATGTGTTCGGTTCATTTATATTTACGAACAACATCATTTGAAGTTCGTGAACAAGCTCAACATTAAGCTCGATAAAAGCTCGAATGGAGATAAATGCAACATGTATGCTTCATTTAAGAATATATTCATATGGATTAATCATATTTTCATTTTAAATAGATAACAACTTTTATTATAAATTTAATTTTCTGAACAAAAGACATTTCACATTTGTCCATGTTTGCTAGATTAGTTGTTCATTGTTTAAGATGTTTATGAACAAATTTAATATTTATTTGTTAAATATGTTCAAGAACATAGCTCTTTAAGGCTTGTTTGTTTAAAGCTCGATAAACATTAAATGAATCGAACATGAACAAAAAATGACACCCTTAAATTAAACGAACCAAACATGAACACAAACAATAAAGCTCGAATCAAACACAAATCAAACTTGAACAAGCTAATGATAAATGAACTCAAACATGAACACTCACATACTCGGCTCGGCTCGGTTCGTTTGCAGCCCTACTTATACTTTGTTTGAGCATATGGCACTCATGTGATTGTGAACCTATAATTTGAACACTTGATGATCTACGCACTCTAATTGACTTAGCATTTATATGCTTAGATCCATTTATATACTGTGGCTCTAATAGACCCCAACTTTTTAGATCGTAAATCCCCTAAATTTGACCCAAGTACAGGTGTAAACCACTCAATCAACCTTCACTTCCAACTAGACCAAGTTGACAAAATTCAGGTTAATTAATTGAGTTCATCTAGACATGTTCTCCTATAAAGCCCTCCATATTCCACAAGTGAGCCTAATTAGATCCCTAACCTAATATATTTGATTGACATATATGTGGATTGAACTGGGCATAATATTGTTCCCCTTGATCTCTGTCCAACTTATAGAATTTACTAGGTTCAGTTAGTCCTGACTAGCTAGCTATAGATTGATTGGATTGAAGTTAACCTAATCCAATATGACTATTTGTGGCTCAATAGTGATATTTGGCCTAGGGAACCCAATAGACAAATAACTTGAAAGTAATCACCGTAGTTCTCATTCATCAGACTCATTTATATCTTCTTATAAATGATACATTCCCGAAACACTTGCAAATAGAGATAACTTAATAGTTATACAATTAACTACAACATAATCTTGTCTGCTCTCGCCGTGATGTAAGTCCAATGAGGCCCATTCATTATGTTGCATCAATCTTAGCTTTTACCTATAAATATTAGTTCTAAAGTCACACACAAAATGTGAAAATGGAACACATAATTCCAAGCAATTCCTAGTGAATTATAAACTTTCTCACACATACATAATTCTTATATTTTTGTCTAAGTTTGGTTCATGCTTTCTTAAAGGGCTTTGTAACATCTCATTTAAATGTTTTGATTAATTTTCAATGACCAACAATCTCAAGTAGGATTCAAAGTATTTTTTATTAGATGAACCAACAAATAGTATACCATCATAATATTAACTCTTATAAATATAAAAATTTAACTTCTTGGTATACTAGTATTTTATATGTTTTAAATAATTTTTAAAAATAAAAAAATTAAAAAAATCTAAATAATCTATAATTTAAAAATAACAACACTCTAAATAACCCATTTTAAGTCAAAGATCAAATCCAACCCATAAGTTCCACCAAAAAGATCAAATAATCCTACACATAAGTGCAATAAAAGATATGTAAATTTATTCTTCCAAGTTTAAAACTCACCCAAAGTCAATCATTAAATGATTAAGGGTTTGTTATTAGGGATAGCTTTGTTGATGTTTTGATTTTCAGGCAACAAATACAATTTTGTTTTAATATTACTTTCTTGTTACTTCTTCTCAATATTTTTAAAACATTTCTACTTTGGAAAGTTACTTTTGTAAACAACATAATTTAGTTACTTTTCTCGCAACTACGCAATCAACTTTTATAAAATATTGCAATCGTACCAAATAAATCCTAAATTCTAAAATCCCTTCATAATCAAGTCTAGGATTACTTTAAAATAATAATAAAAAAAAAGTCTAGGATTACTTAACTCATCAAATAAATATTTAGAAGGTAATATTTAAAAATGATAAATTAAGGTAGCATCTTTAATAATACAAAAATTTTATTAGACTCTTCATATAAATTAAGGTAGCATCTTTAATAATGTATAATGAATTCATATATTTTAGGTATTATATAGGCAAAGTTCCATTATCTTTAAACGTAAATAATTTATTAGACTCTTCAGATAAATACAATTTTTTTAGCTTAATACCTTTAGGACAGGTATATATTCCTCAACCTGTATGTAGACCTGTCAATTTCGGGTCACGGGTCGGGTTCAGGTCGAACCCGGATTGACCCGGTAATATTCGGGTTCAGGTCAACCCAACCCGTTTTTGTAAACGGGTCGATTATCCGAACCCGACCCGCTTCGGGTTCGGGTCAACCCGACCAAATTAAACGGGTTTTCGGGTTGACCCGGCAACCCGTCGGGTCAACCCGAACCCGACCCGGTTCGGGCTCGGGTCAACCCAAATCCAAAAATTCCGGGTCGGATTTTCGAGTCGGGTCAAATATTGACAGGTCTACCTGTCTGACAAAAAACTCATTGAAATACTTTATTGACTTTTTTTAGCACACTAAGCTCTCTCTCTCTCTCCCCCTAGAAGACAGCAAATTGAGGACATAAGAAGAGCTTCAAACCGAGCACAGCAAAGAGCTTCTCCAGGCGGTCCTATGTTTCAGTTGGCTCACATTTGTACCAGTTACTAGCTTCGAGGAGAGGATTACTACAACGTTTGACTCCATTTCCTCCAAAATGATAGGAAATCCCTGTTGAACATTTGAACCTTATTATTATGAATCTACTTTGTTATTTCTGTTGGAAGTTAATGTTCATTCCATTTGCTGAGTTTTGGTGCTTTTGAGTGACATAAGAGGGAGAGATTATTCTGTGCGGAAGCTGAATGTATTCGGAGACGAATCCGGATGCGTCACGTCACCGGATGCACTGGGCCCGGTGATGTGGCATGCACGGATTCGCCTCCGAACACGTTCGGATTCCGCATAGAATAATTTTCACATAAGAAGAGGTTCTAATAGTCCTCAAATGTGCTTGAATTAAGTGTTGCTTTATCGTTTATGTGCAAATTTAGGCTTCGTTTGAGACAGCTTTTTTGCTACTTTTTTTACTAGAAAGCTGCTTCGAGAAGAAATAAAAAAAGTCATCCCAAACCAAGCCTTAATTGTCCCAGATTGTGCGAGCGTACGTCCTGGAGTGTGATTGTTATTAGCATAATTAAACCTCTTGTATTTAGCTTATTACTCAACTTCCATTTACACGGTATTAAATACCGTCCCTGTACTCGGTATTACACATGAATATAATTTTTCCTTTTCTGCTTTCTCTCTCTGTGTCGTCCGTCTTTTGCCATTCTCTCATGGTATCAGAGCCATGAGGGGAGATCAAGATTCTGTAAATTCTCTCCCTCCTCCTCCTCCACCCAGACCGGAAACAACACCATCCACATTTCAATACCCCAACCTCTCAAATTCCTTATTTCGAACCTCATGAACTTGGTGTCGTATTCTCTCATGTCGGAGAACTACACGATATGGAGGATGCAACTTCAGCAGCAATTCACATCCAATGGCTATGCCGGCCATCTCAACGGCACAAACACGGCTCCCGACGACACCGCTTCCGCCGACTACGCCAACTGGCAAATTGTCGACAGTAATATTCTTTCAGCTCTTTTTTACACTGTCTCCCAAGAAATTCTCCCCTACATTATCACCTCCAAGACCACTCATGAGACGTGGTCCATTCTTGAAAGGCGTCTTCAACCTTCAAGCAGATCACACGTCATTCAACTTAAAAACGAGCTATATCACATTCACATGAAGGATCAATCCATCCAACGATATCTTACCGAAATTAAATCTCTGGTTGATAGTATTTCCGCTCCGGATCCAAGATTGATCCGGAAGACATCATCCTTCACATTTTGAATGGCTTGCCACCCACGTTTAATTCTTTCAAATCCAATTTTCGCAACTCTCTCCTGCCCATTGATCTTGACACCTTCTATGCACTTCTTTGCAACGAAGAAATTCATCTTCAATAAGATATTACATATTTTTGTCTAATTTCTTATAAGAATTTAGAAGGCAAATCATATTACATATTTTTCTCTTTTTTTTGTCTAATTTCTTATAATTTCAAAAAATTTAAAATACTTTTCAAATTTTTATTTATAAAATATGTGGCATAATCTTAACCCCAAAGATATGTGGCTTGACAAATGAATGATAGGGGTGTTTCAAAAATAGTCTAAATAGCCAACTCCATTAGAGTCCAGCCCAAAAATTTTGAATTTGAATTGACCTATTTAAAATATGAGTTGGGTTCAGATTTACACACTTGATTTTGATCCAAAAGTAATAGGCTTAATATTCTTTCCTCAAATTCTTTATTTGTTGATATAATCTTAATTTTTTTTATCAAAATTTCTAAACTCTATAACTAATATGTTATAATTTTTTTTTAATCAAATTCATCATTTTGACATGTTTGGGTTATTCGAGTTGCCAGCATGTTGGATCTAAATCCATCATTTTGACCTATTTCTTAAACAAGCTGTGGGCAATATGATTTCGAGCCGGGTCAATTAATGATTGAAGTTGAACTCGGACAATTAACCCATTTCAACGACAAATTATTACGTGCGGCGTTTGGATTCGTCCGGAGGCGAATCCAGAGGCACCACATCACCCCGACCCAATGCTTCCGGGTGATGTGGCGCGTCCAAATTCACCTCTGAATAATCCGAACAATGTACATAATAATTTGCCCATTTCAACACCACCTCTGAACAGTGCGCGTACCGTTAGGAGTGGAGTTGTGCTGAACCGCAGGTGCTCCCTTGTAATCCGTTGCATCAGATCACTCGCTATCGGAGCTGATGGGCCGCTTTGAAAGCGGCCCATCCCATTGAGCCTCACGACCCACTTAACAACAAAGTCATGACTGTACCCTCTCTCTCTCTCTCTACCTCATTGCCGTGGCCCTTCACCTTCTCATTCCTCTTTATTGCTTGCTTTTCATCTACTTCTCTTCTATATAATTCTCTGAACTTTATTTTTTTCCGGCTTGTGGACCTGTGGACCTGTGGTGGTGATTCACTCTCATTTTGGAGAGTAATAAAGGCCAGCATTTTTTCTCAATCTTATCAGCGTGAAGAAGAAGAAGAAGAAGAAGAAGAAGAAGAAGAAGGGCTCCTATCTTTCTCCCTGCTTCAGATTCAAAGCTGAATAATTCTTCTCCATGACTCGATCTAATTTTCTTGTGTTTTTTCTTCTTGCTATCCTTCTTTCCTTCTCCTATAAGGGTAAGGTTTTCCCTTTTGATTTTCTTTTTTTTCCCCTTGTTTTTTTGGTGTGTATATTTATTGAATGAGATTTTTTTTTTGGGGGGGCTGCAGGGTATGGAAGAAGGGTGAAGATTTTGAGGCATCCTCAAGAAAAGTCACTCCTCGAGGTATTTTTTTATAGCTAGTAAATTTTAATGAGTTTTTCTTTTGAGGATTTCAACCAGTTGTTGGGATTACAGTCGTACTGGAAATTTTTAATGAAAAAATAAAAGACAAGTTTAAATAAAAAATATCTCATCTGTGAAGGACAATGGGGATTATCTCTATGAGGATTACTTAAAAATAATAATTATAGAAGCAAATGAAAATCATTTCTAAAACTAAGATTTTTTTTTTCTTTTTGTATACTTGATTCATATTTATATGAGGAAACTTGATTGATAATTAATATTTGGACATTTTATTAATAAAATAGGAGTTTGACTGAACCATTAAAAATTCAGTCTTGATTTTGATAGAGAATCAATCGAATCTGCTAAAGCTCAACTTGGTTTTAACAGAGATTTTTCATATCCTTTTTGTCTGTAGCAATTGTGATTGCTTTGAATTGGAATTTAATGTTAATATTATGTTTTGAAGATGTCATTTAGCGTTTAAGAGTTTGGGTTGACAGGTTGATCCTCAACTCAATATCATTTTGTGCTTCAGTTAGTAATTGAGCTTAAAGATTAATTAGTAAGAGCTGAAATCAGTTCAGCTGAATTTTTTACTTTGAAATGTAAGAATCAGAGAGCTGGCAAGAGAGTAATGGAGAGGACTCTTATCTTTTAGGGGCATTTATAGGAGAAATTATTATGTGCGGATGCCGGACGTAGCTCTATGTCCGGAGGTGAATCAGGTGCAGTCATGTCAGCGGTGCCAAGCTGCGGCACCGAGCAGTACTGAGCCGCGGTACAGAGCGAAGGGGTGACGTGGCGCATTTTGGTTAGTCTCCGGACGGCGTTCGGCATCCACACAGTATAATTTTCCATTTATAGGGGTTATTATGAATAAAATTATTGTAATGTTGTGAGGCATATGGTGGATAAACAATTCATATCACCTCCAAGATCTTTGTTGGATAGAATTGACCATTTTTGTTTTCAGTCAATCAAAGTTGGACAAACAAGCCACAGCATCTTTGAGATCATGCCCTTGGAGATAATGAATAGATCCAAGGCCCTGTTTCTCAAGATTAATGTAGAAAGAGAGATGAATTAGACGTCTGCATCAATATAGATTGCTTTGAGATTGATGCTATGATTATTTGAATTGGATGAGAAAATTTATGCTAGAACTTTGATATTAGTGCATATGTAATTTGCCTCATTTGGGTTGATTAGTATATGGACACAAATCTTGAAGCAATCAAGCAGTGTATGAATTAAAAAATTCATTTTCACATCCAAATTGTGTTGGACAAAGATCATGTAAACATGAATTTGATGTTATTATTCAAATGATTAGAGATAGCCAAGAGTTATGCTTTAGGATCATATTAGATTATTAGTTGTCTTTTATTTTTGGATTCTTTTGTAAAAAGTTAGTTCAAAATATTTTCTTTTCAACCTTAAATAGATCTTTGCACAATTTGCCACATCATGTATGTAAGGTTGGAAATGATTTTAGTGATTCTTCCAAATTATAATATGAGTCTAATTTCCTTGATTGTGGCAGATTTACAATTTGACTAGTTGCTCTGATTGCATGCTTGGTCAAATATTGTGTTGTCCATATGAAATTCTAACCCAGTTAAAAAACACAAAATTTGGACTATGGCAAAAAATATAGGCAAAATTATAGATTTTCTATTAATCTTATTTCTATGTGAGCCAATGAAAAATCAAGGCTTCTAAATGAGTTTAAGATATTTATTACTTTGCCATGTAAAATGGATTGAGAGACATAAGTCGTCTTGAAATTCTTGACCCGACCAAAATAGAAAAAAGTCCTAGGCCAACCTTGGATGCGAATCCTGCTTCAATAAGGAGGCAACCTAATTTTAACATCTAATTAGAACAACTTATTGAGTGGTGGTTCTGGAGGAGCTAAATTTTCAACGGTGATTTTTTTTTATTTTTTATTTTTTGCTTTTTAATAGATTTTATTTAAAATTTTAAATAATAATTTTGGCATCAATTAGTAAATGATTTTTTAGTTAATTCCATTCAGTTGATCAAGGGCACCAAGGTTTGTTCTATGAAGATCTTTGATATCATGGTTCGTGTTGGGTGCTGGTCCAGGAATTAGTTTAGGTTGATTCGCATGAAGCCTCACATCATGTGTAAATGTCTATAAATAGGCATTGTGTGCTCATTGTAACAACCCTCTCTTGTATGCCCATTGAATAAAGGAAATAAGATATCTTGTCTCTCTCCCTCTTTCCCTCTTTCAAGAAGGCTCAAAAAGAGCTTCTTCCTCATGCAAGAAGTTTAACAAGTGGTGGTATCAGAGCCTCGAAGAAGGAGGAAGGTGATATTGTTATCAAGAAGAGGAAGGAGGTCGCATGGCTCAAGCATTTGGTCAGAAAAATCCATAGTCGGGTGCAATCGCTTGTGCATAGGATCAGCAGGAGCAGTAGAGGGAGTCGCGGGCATAGTCGGGAGAGCCTGGTTTCACGCAGGTCGGACATTGGGCCGATGCAACAAAACACTCAGGTGGGTTATTACACGCGGAGGTTGATCGTGCATAAAGACGAAGCAGAAGGATTAGGCAATGGTGTGAACGATCGCGAATGCGAATGGGTAGTCGTGCACAGGGCCTCAGTCATGCGTGAGCACGGGCTTGCCATATATGCGAGCATGTGGGCGGGCCGTAGTTCGTGCGAGTATTGCGCTAGGTGCGAGAAACGAGGTGCGAAAGTGACCTTTGAATTTAGGGATCAAAGGAGCTTTGTGCAGGACGCGGTCGGTCATAAGACTGTCCAGGGCGTGTTGTCCACGCGAGATCACACGGGGCTCGATTCTCGTACAAATGAGAGGGAACGAAGGGAGGTCGTGGCAGTTCATATTGCAGGCTTCTTTATGCTGAAGCAGAGCGCATGGTTGGGTCATGTGCACAAAGGAAGGAGGCGAGGCCTGGGCATAGGAGCGTGTTGAAGCATCAATATTGGGTGTGGGACTAGTTGGAAGCATGATATTTCATTTCTTGATTAAAGATTGGTCAAGATCTTTGAGGTGGAGCCTCCGAGTCAAATTGCGGGTTGATTGGCGAGAAGAGTCATTTTGGTTGTAGTGTGTTGTAGTAGTGAATCAAAACATGCAAGATCAAGAACCTTGGCGGCATGTTGGTCGCGGACATGAAATTGGACAGGTGTTGTGCAAGGTCGTGGGTTGGAGCTTGCATGAGTTTTCAAAGAAAATTGGTGAGTCAGGGCTAGAGCGTGGGTGTGCTGCAATGTTGCAAATGCATAGGCCAAAAGCATGCAAAAGCAGGCGATGTGTAAGGCACGAGCGTGCGGATCACGGGTGGAACAATAGGATTTCAAGATGGTGCCGTCGACCGGAACGCACAATGTAGGCCATTCGGGAGCGGGATTGGGCTTGGTTCGACAGGATTGCTCATGGAGTTAGTGCAGGGAACCAGTAAGATCGTAGTTGGTGCACAAGTGGTTCTTAATTTGATTGTAAATTTAGACCAAAGTGGAGATTGTTGGGTGTTGGTGCAGGATTTAGTTTAGGTTGATCCGTAGGACACCGTACATCATATATAAATGCTTATAAATAGGCATTGTATGCTCATTGTTACAACCCCCTCTTATATGCTCATTAAATAAAGGAAATATGATTTCTTACCTCTCTCACTCTCTCTCTTTCAAGATGGCTCAAGAAGAGCTTCTTCCTCATGCAAGAAGTCTAACAGTTCGGATAAACGATGGACTTTCTAGCACCTACACTACTCAATTACTTGAAGATTCTTGTCAACCCATTGATTGACCCTAATGAAACACATCTCATGAGCAATATTCTTTGGGATTTATTCTAAATAAATTTCATTCAATTTAGATCAAAATTAGGAATAAATTCTTGAATGAATACATTAGAGAAAAGATTAGAGTGGTATCTATTGAATGCGATGTAACAAAAACAGTCTTAGGTTATTTCGTTTTAACGAATAATAAAAAATATGTTTGTTAAACAAGTTGATAAAATTGGTGTTAAAAATCGTGAATGAAAATAGATAGATTTAATATTACTTGTATAGAAGTTGTTCAAAATAATTTGTAAAGAATATATTTAATACCTATGCACAGCACTCAAAATAAATCAATGAAAAATATGAATTCATAATTTTGAGCCAAATATTTGGGATGAGACTGATAAAGTTTACTATATATATCTTATTCATATCTCCATTAGCATTCAACTGCGAGGCGTATCCGTATCCGACACGTATCCGATACAGCACGCCTCGTAAATAGGAGTATCCGTGCAACATAGGCTGCAATATAGCAAATGCATAGGCCAAAAGCATGCAGAAGCAGGGGATGTGTAAGGCACGAGCGTGCGGATCACGGGTGGAACAATAGGAGTTCAAGATGGAGCCGTCGACCGGAACGAACAATGGAGGCCATTCGGGAGCGGGATTGGGCTTGGTTCGACAGGATTGCTCATGGAATTAGTGCAGGGAGCCAATAAGATTGTAGTTGGTGCACAAGTGGTTCTTAATTTGATTGTAAATTTAGACCAAGGTGGAGATTGTTGGATGTTGGTCCATGATTTAGTTTAGGTTGGTCCGTAGGACACCTCACATTATATATAAATGCTTATAAATAGGCATTGTATGCTCATTGTAACAACCCCCTCTTATATGCTCATTAAATAAAGGAAATATGATTTCTTGTCTCTCACCCTCTCTCTCTTTCAAGAAGGCTCAAGAAGAGCTTCTTCCTCATGCAAGAAGTCTAACCGTTCGGATAAACGATGGACTTTCTAGCACCTACACTACTCAATTACTTGAAGATTCTTGTCAACCCATTGATTGACCCTAATGAAACACATCTCATGAGCAATATTCTTAGGGATTTATTCTAAATAAATTTCATTCAATTTAGATCAAAATTAGGAGGAAAAGATTAGTGTGGTATCTATTGAATGCGATGTAACAAAAATAGTCTTAGGTTATTTCGTTTTAACGAATAATAAAAAATATGTTTGTTAAACAAGTTGATAAAATTGGTGTTAAAAATCGTGAATGAAAATAGATAGATTTAATATTACTTGTATAGAAGTTGTTCAAAATAATTTGTAAAGAATATATTTAATACCTATGCACAGCACTCAAAATAAATCAATGAAAAATATGAATTCATAATTTTGAGCCAAATATTTGGGATGAGACTGATAAAGTTTACTATATATATCTTATTCATATCTCCATTAGCATTCAACTGCGATCCACTCATTGCTAAGGCCCTTAAAAATATAATTACCGTTAACAATGCCCCTTCACTTTCTTTTGCTCACTTCTCTATCATCCCAAAGGTGAAATACTAGTAAGTTTGGAGGGCCTTTTGGGACAAAAGAAAATGTCAGTATATTATGATACCAAACAAATCAATATGGGCTTTTAAAATCTTTTGATTTGCAATGAGATTAGTACAATTTAAGATTCACAATTATAATATTAATCTCAACATATAAGAATTTTAAAGAATCATGATATGTTTTAATATTTTTTTCCTTTAGAGAGTTTCCTACTTGGGCTGCAGCTTTTTTGTTTTTCTTGAGGTTTTGTTTGGGACAGTTTTCTTACTATTTTCTTGTACTAGAAAACTGTTTTAGAAAGCAATAAGATAATTGTCACAAACGAAGCCTGAATATACGTAGGAGATGATATTACTCAACGACATTTCATCATCTCAAATTCTACCAATATTGAAATTGTTTCCGACATGCCTGTATTTTAGGCTTCGTTTCAGAAGACTTTTTTACTGCTTCTTAAATCATCTTTCTAGTACAAAAATTAAATTTTTTTTACTAAAAGATTACTTTATTAAACAGTAAGAAATCCATCATAAACATAGCCTAAAGTTCTAGCACAAATTATTTCCATACTACAATTGCATTATCTTACAAAGTTAAAAAAACTTGATACCGGTAATATCAATTTTCATGCAAGAAGTTTGCAAATATATCAATACCTTTTTTTTAATGTATAGCTTAAAATACTTA